TAGGTGATAGTTCTTGATTACTTTTTGATAAATAATTCGTTCTTATTGCGAAATAGGAGCATTATTTATCAATCTGTAATAAAAGACGTGAGGAAATTCTGTCTTTTTTAAAAACAAAAATTTTTGGGGCGAAATACCCAAAAGGAAGTTTGCAGAAAAAGTCTCCTTTAGATAATAAGAAGATCTTGCCCAATCCGCTCAAATAAAACCCTTTGGTCAGGTGGTTTGTCTTGAATGGCCGAGCACTGGAGCTTGTTTCGCTTTCAACACCCTTAAATAAGCCGCCAAATCAGAGATTCTCCAAGTTTGAATGAATAAATGCTTCTACTGAGAGTCCAATGTTGGCAAAATATATAATTTTAAGCGATCGCACTAATTAGTATTCATGCCTACCCGGCTTTGAGGGGGGTAAAACCCTTAAAGTTCTGCAGTATTTTGCGGGTTGAGCGCAAACGAAAGCTTCAATTTGGGCTTAATGTTCGAAACTACCCCGATAAGTGTTTCAGCGCAAACTTGCAAAGTGGTTTGTTATCAACAACTAGCGGATTTTGTTCGATTTGCGGGGTATCGGGGGAAGTTTCGCAACACATTCAAGGCACAAGTGATGTAAATCGGAATAATATTCATGCAGATCCCAAGACAGTTATTCGTACGTGACCTCATCCATCTATAGACACCCCGAGCCAATGAATTACGATTTGGACGTCCGGATCGGGGGCCAAATTTCAGGTGTTCCTGCGGGACGAATCTGCCTCGATATAATGGGAATATCGGGTTGCACGTTTGCCGCAAACTTTATATGACGTACAAGCGTTAACACCTACAGTAGTAGGAATTAACAAAGTTTAATTGATTTCGTGGCTCAAGTAAAGTTGGATCAAGCGGTCGACCTGGTTGGTGATCTGGAGAATCCCGTAAATTCCCTTTCACCGGTTGATCAAACCAATAAATGAAAACACCCAGGTTGGAGGGAATAACTAACTAAACTTGATTTATTTCTGTGCTTTGAGGACGAGGAAATTTGTTTAACCGTAAAAAATTCAAGTCATATAATCGGAAACGTTATTATATGTCCAAACACCCATAATTCCGTTTTTATTAAAATTTCGCCCTCAAATCTTCAGCGGCAGATCTGTGTAAGCCCTCGCGTTGTGTTCCCAGTGTGGAAATCTGATTAAACACATTTTTTTCACGGTGAAATGGTAATTACCTCTTCCGAGGGATGTTCGCAACGACCGTCCGCAGTGGCGCACATTTAAACCCAAATTTCAAAATTACTTCCATCTATTTACAGTTGGCATGACTTTATTCTGATTCTCGGGAAAGTGCAACTGTTTTAAGCCAAATAATGCAAACAGCGAATAGCGAATCGAGTGAGAACTGCAGAAACCAGAAGGGAAAATTTTGCAATTTCAGCAAGGAACTATTTGAATTTTTTTACAAACTTCTTTTTGGGTATTTCGCCTCAAAAATATTCGAATAATCGTTGGAACATTTTCAATAGAGACTCCAGGAAACTGTCTTTAGCTCGTTGGATTTTACAAAAATTTCCCAATCGTTAAAAAGTTAAGAGCCAAAAATTTAAAAAGCCGTCGAAGTTTGAGAGAACTTCTGACTCGGAAATGAGAGAAAATATTCGAATAATCGTTGGAACATTTTCAATAGAGACTCCAGGAAACTGTCTTTAGCTCGTTGGATTTTACACAAATTTCCCAATATTTAAAAAGTTATGAGCCAAAAAGTTAAAGAGGCGTCGAAGTTTAAGAGAACTTCTAATTCGCGAATGAGTGAAAATATTCGAATATTTGTTGGAACATTTTCAGTAGAGAGTCCAGAAAATTGTTTTAAGGTCATTGATTTTACAAAAATTTCCCAATCGTTAAAAAGTTAAGAGCCAAAAATTTAAAGAGCCGTCGAAGTTTAAGAGAACTTCTAACTCGGAAATGAGTGAAAATATTCGAATAATCGTTGGAACATTTTCAATAGAGACTCCAGGAAACTGTCTTTAGCTCGTTGGATTTTGCACAAATTTCCCAATCGTTAAAAAGTTATGAGCCAAAAAGTTAAAGAGGCGTCGAAGTTTAAGAGAACTTCTAGCTCGCAAATGAGTGAAAATATTCGAATATTTGTTGGAACATTCTCAGTACAGAGTCCAGAAAATTGTTTTAAGGTCATTGATTCTACAACAATTTCACAGTCGTTAAAAAGTTAAGAGCCAAAAATTTAAAGAGTCATCGAAGTTTAAGAGAACTTGTAACTCGGAAATGAGAGAAATTATTCGAATAATCGTTGGAACATTTTCAATAAAGACTCCGTCTTTAGCTCATTGGATTTTACAAAAATTTCCCAATCGTTAAAAAGTTAAGAGCCAAAAATTTAAAGAGCCGTCGAAGTTTAAGAAAACTTCTAACTCGGAAATGAGTGAAAATATTCGAATATACTCGTTGGAACATTTTCCATCGAGAATCCAGAAAACTGTCGTTACCTCATTTGATTCTACAAAAGTTTTCCAGTCTTTAAAAAGCTAAGAGCCAAAAATTTAAAGTGCGAT